TAACACATGGTTGAATTCCATGGGCTTTTCAATTTTTTTTTTTTTTAAAGGATTTTAATCTCTATATGAGGTTTCAAAAAGTTGGAAAAATGGAACCAAAACATACGAAAAATTTCCACTAACTATTGAAAGCCTGTTCCTATTTATAAGAAATGGGGCTAAATCTTTCCTTCCCAACAGTCTTAGTGTCTTGACCTGCTTTTGTAGCAGGTTTCGGCCAGCCTTGGGGAGTGGGCTGCCGGATCTTCTTCCCACCAGAAGAGTGGGAGACTGAGGCAACCTCCAACTTGAGTTTGTAGATCTCCTCTGGAATCTACCTGTACTCGTGTTTTCTTTGTATAAAGATTTTTAACTGCAGCTCTCATTTTATGTTTTTAAATTTTGTTTTGCTCCTTTATACACAGAAATCATTTATTTTTTTATACTAGTAAGTTGTAAAATTAATCTATAAAATTCAAAACATTTAATATGTCTCAAAGGCAGAGTGGACAACCTAATGATAAACTATCATATCAACAGTGTATGACAAAGCTTAAGAAACTTAAGACCATTAACAGTTTGAAATGAAGTTTATAAAACAGACACTTTGAAGTCAGCTACTATGCTCAGTTAACCTTGCTTGTAGATATTTCATTGAATCTTTATCAATCAATGACAAAGAAACACAAACACACGTTGATTTCAAACACTGTGTTTTGGTTGTAACATGCAAGACAGACCCCAGATTAGAAATATCTTCTGAAAGAAAATGAAGAAAAACAAAAATCAAGCAGGAAGGACACGCTCCCAGTGTTTGGACAGACCTTTAAATATTCTACCAGCAGGTTACATGCCTTCACTCTCAGGTAGGAGTCCCACCAGCTACTCTTCAGAAACCCTATACAGAGTAGCTATGAGTTGGCACTCAGTGACAACGATATCCATTCTCAGGCAGGGAGCTAAAAGGCCATGACACATCGTCTGCTGTAAGGATGAGGATCCAGCAGACTGACAGTGTCAGTATCACAAGAGTGGCCCTACCGGAGGAGGAAGTGAAAGAAGCCAGCCTGTAGGAAATCCAGAGGAGGAAAGAAACATATGAAACACGACAAGAACGAAACACCAACACAAAACAAACATAACAGGAAAAACAGAGGGGAAAAAGGGCAAAGCAGTAAAACCAAAGAACCGAGGAGGAGAAAACACAGTAAAAACATTAACAAAACAACTCTAGTGTCTTCATGCCAAAAAGACTGCCTGCAGCAGCAAAAATCAAGACCCTTTTCAAGCCAAGACTGCTTAAGCCAAGTATGGGGTCCTGTTATGGCACCATGGGATACACACTGGACTACCAAACAAAACGTCTGTGGTTCAAACCCACCAGCTGCTCCTCAGAAACCATACACAGGGTGGCTATGAGTTGGAACCAACTGGATGGCACTTAACTACAAGGAGCAAGTATAGAAACTTCAAAGAGATACAATGTTAAACTTAAAAATGTTTACCAGTATGAATTTGATAAAGACATTATGCTGCTTTAATTAAAATTCTAAAACTACTTCAGTTTTTATAGCTTTCCAAACTGACTCAAAAAGGAATGCTTTTATGACGATACACAGGTGACTGTCCACGGAACCCTGATCTTTGTTTAAGTTTTTACTATGAACAGAGTGCTAGCTTACATGTGAGAACATGGGCTTTACAACATTGTTTCATGTTGCATTGTAGTGATTACAATCTCCTCCGTGCATCATCATTCAACTGTATCTGTTTCCATTCCCTAGTTTTTTTTTTTTTTTAGGGGGATGTACACAGAAACACTCAGGAATATATAATAATTTAAACAACCCAAGGGCACACGCTGCAAGCCTGCCTCCTGACCACCAGCACCTAGTCCCTCTCTTTCCATGAGTCCAGAGTCCTCAGCTGCTCCCCCGCTCTCCATGTCCTCATCTCTGGTGTTGTTGCTGCTCTGGACAGGGTCCCACACTCAGCTTGTGCTCTTCTCCCTTCACAGGACCCCTGATCTTTTCATCTGTGCTTTCTCTGTAATTCTAAACGCCATTTCCTTTGACTGGTACATGTTTTTTCTTGGTCTTCCTGACTGAAGCATGTTGATTTTACATTATTCAAGTATCAACTTTGACTTCATTGAATTATTTTATTTGCCATTTCCATGCATTTCTGCACCACCATCCTCTCTTCCTTCTGTTGGTAAACGGCAGTACTCTCTTTCCATTCCTTAACTAGTATCATGGGTCCTTTGGTATTGGTTCTTGTTTCCTCGTGTAAGTAGCAAAAGTCAAAACTCTCCCTCTAAGCACCACTTCTGTGGCCTCCAACTCGTCCTGATGTACAGCACTTGGATTGCAATTCAGCTGGAGGCATTTTTAAATTTCCACCATGATTACTTCCTTAATCCTGTGCTATTTTTGGAGTTTCCAGGAATACACGACCAGCTACAGGGTCTAGGCGAGACTGATGCTTGACCATGGGCCACTGGGAGATTCCGTAGTCCACACACCATCAGCTGTACAGGCAGCCCCATGCCATGCACACGGCCCACACCAGAGCCTGGGTGGTATTCTCCTGTGGAGAGTGCCCAGCAATGGTCAGGTACCACGACTACCACACTAACAAGTCTGTCAGATAGCAGCTGGTTCTCAATGTGGCTGCCCCCCTGCCTGCGGCCATCAGGGTGGTCTCCTGGAGCCTTGTCCGTACCCTGTCCTCCGTATCACAGGGCAGACCAAGAAATGACAGACTTAATGAGTGTTGTCATGAGGTCCATTACCTTCAAGATGGCTTCTGATGGCTAAGAGACGAGGACTGTAAACACTTGTATCGAGATCACAGTTATTGGTATTAGCTGCACCTCAGTGTAAAGAAAACAAAACCCCTCACCACTGGACCAATAAAATCCAGATAAATGGAGAAAAGATTGATGTTGTCAAAGATTTTCTTTTGCTCGGATCAACCATCAGCACTCACGGAAGCAGCAGTCAAGAAATCAAACGATGTATTGCATTAGGCCAACCTGCTGCACCAGACCTTTTTAAAGTGTTGAAGAGCAAAGATGTCAGCTTGAGGACTAAGGTGCACCCGAGCCAATGGTATTTTCAGTAACTTCACATGTATGTGAAAGCTGAACAGTGAATATGGAAGAACGTAGAAGAATCGATCCATTTGTATCATGGTGTTGGAGGAGAATACTGAAAGTGCCATGGGCTGCCAAAAGAACCAACAGATCTGTGTTGGACAAAGTGCAGCTAGAGTGCTCCTTGGAGGCCACAATGGGCAGACTTCATCTCTCATACTTCAGACATATTGTCAGGAGGGACCAGTCACTGGAGGACACCATGCTTGATAAAGTGGAGGGTCGGAGGAAAAGAGGAAGACCCCCAGCAAGCTGGACTGGCATAGTGGCAGCAGCAGAGGGCTCAAGCATAGCAACACTGGTTGAGGTTGGTGAAGGAGCGGGCAGTGTTTCCTTCTGTGGTGCAGAGGGTGGCTGTGAGTACTGACTGGAGCCCCTAACCACACGACTGCAGGCTGCCGGGGTGGTGGTGGTGGTGGTGGTGTCAAGATGCCACAGGCTTGGGCAGGCATCTCTGACTCTGCTGCTTTTGGGGGTATCCCCAGGGACTGCCACTGGTCCATTCTGAGATTCTCCAGCCCCCTGGTGAAGAGCGAAGCACACCGCTCACTGTACTGGTGAGGAGGCTACAATGAAAGCTCAACAGATCTGCTGCCCTAAGTGGGCGGTAGGGGGCAGCAGTCAGGTGGGAACTGGAGGCCCCTGGACACCCTGCCACACACCACACCCTGAGTCAGCTGAGGGAATGAAGCAGGGTGCTGCCCTGTTGGAAGATATGGTGGGCACAAGAAGCTTTGGTGGAGCTGCGAGCACTGGTACGAAGGAGGGCTGTGGCCTCTCTCATCTCCCCACTCAGCAGGGGGAGATGCCACCCAGGCCGCCTGTGGGATGGGGTGGGGCGAGCCGTACAGGGACACATGCAGTCTCCTAGTTGTCAAGAGCAGGCACTGAAAAAGGATGAGGGCTCACACTGCACTGAAGCCCTAAGCAGTGGGGGTCTGCCGGCTGCCCTTCATCTCTCTCTTTGGCCTGCCTGTGTGGCAGGTTTCTCACACCACAGTCATGGACAGACCACCCGGCTTACATGAGACCTGTGTGTGGACTCAAGTCTTTGACCTTCTGAAGTCCCTCCCCACCTCTCCTTAAGTCCACTGGTCACCAGCCCTTGATGCACTAACAATCATCACGCCCAGCTTGTTTTCCTCCCGGGCCCGGAGCACCAGAGGTCAGACCTAAAGGGAGCCACATGGGGACAGCAGGGAGCAGGCTCAGCAGCCAAGGCCAGTCACACCTCTTCTCTGACAGTCTCAGGGGTTAGGACTTGGACGTTTCCTCTGTGATAGGCCACAGGACTCCAAGGGGCTTCCCTTCTCAGTAGACTCCACCACTGTGTCCTCTACTGTGAGATCACCAAGAGTGTGTGTGTGTGTGTGTGAGTGAGTGAGAGACTGAGTGTGTGCGCAAAGTACATGTGTGTGTGAGATGTGTACGCGGGTCACACGCTGAATGTGTGTGTGAATGTGAGGGCTGCTGTGTGGCTGGTGTCTGTGTGTCTGTGTGTGTGTGAGAGAGAGAGAGAGAAAGAAACCCTTCACCTTACAACATCAGAGTTGTGAATCTGTGTCTTTCTTCTGGAATAAATTCAGGATGTTCAAGCTCAATGAAACAAACATCAACATTTACATAGAATTTAAAAGGTCAATGTGTTTTACCTGGTGAAGACTCACAACATTTATTTACCTAAGTCTCCTTTACACATCAAAAATTGAAAGACGATTTCCAGACTCATCTTATACTCAAGCTTTGGGAGTTACAGCGAATGGGGAGGGAAAGACACTGCCCAGGGAAGAAGCCTGAGCTAACACTTTCCCTTTCTGACTGGTCTGTTGTTAACCGATATCGACTGGTAAATGTGTCCCCTCACCTCAATCACGTATCCGATGTACTCAATGACGTGTCCGTTGTATTCTTGAGTTTTTAAAATCAGTTTATCACCTAGTTTAAAAATAGATGACAGGGAAAATGAATATAAAACTGCAAAATCCTCATGAATTGCCAATTAAACACCACCAGACCAACAGGGAGTCCTGCTGTAGGGATAAGCACTGGACTGCTAACCACAAGGTTGGCTAGTTCAAATCCAGCAGCCACTCTGAGGCAACTCTATGCAGGGATAGCACTTAACAACAAGGCCAATACGAGTCCTGGTGGGGCAGTGGGTGAAGCATGGGGCTGCAAGCTGCCAGGTCAGCAGCTTAAACCCAAAGCTGCTCCAAGGGAGAAAGGTGCCACTGTCTACTCCTGCAGAGATGGACAGACTCAGAAACCCGAAGGGCAGTTCCACTCTGTCCTATAGGAGCTGTGAGTCAGAATCACCCCAGAGACAGTGGGGTTTGGTTCTGGTATCAGACACAGTGTGATAAAGACAATACACGCAGGGCGCTGCAGCTGCAGCTCAAGTTTTAGGGGATACTCTTAAGCCAAAGGAAGGCCACGTGACAACGGGATGCAGTGTTGCTGGGTGACAGCCTGTTTCCTGCCTTGGCTCCCAGTCTGCTAGTCCCCCTGTTCACCCTAACAGCGCACACCCACCTGCATACAGTGAGGGCCGGCTTTCCGCCAGGCCCGGGACCTCCAGCACCAGTAGGTTGCCGTTCCTTTTCAAGGTGACCCCACTCATGTTGTACTCTTTGAGTTCGATTTCTGCATGGATCTCCTCAAGCCACAGCAATGTTGAAAACTTCTCCTTGTAGTTTGACATGTTCAAAAGCTGGAAGCAAAACACTGGCCAGTTCCAGGGGGTAAGCAGCTCTAGATTTCCAGTCTGACAGACATGCCCATGGGGGAGACTGCAGGGTGCGCCAGACTGCTGGGGGAGCACTTGGAGCTCGGCTGGGAAAGGCTGTCTCTGCAGTTGCCACACCTGCCTTTGCCACACAGCCCCTGCCCTCTGCTGCCCCTCCTCTTCTTAAATCTTCCGACTTTACCCCCCAGAAAGGTCAGTTTGGCTTCTACAGACATCTGTCAGAAGAGGGGGCTGCAGCTTCAGAATTCTGCTCCCACCTGAGCAAGCTTACAAGACTTAGAAAACAGCAGTTTTCAGATGCTGACTGTCAGGAGCACAGGACAGAAATTCTGTAAGGGGGGACCGACTGTGTAAGCCCCATGACGGTAAGGTAGGTGCAGGGAGAGAGCATGGAGGTCCCCATGAGCTGGAAGGTGCAGGGAGAGCGAGCCTGGAGGGCTCCCGGGCTAGGTGTCCCAGGGGCTGGCAGGTGCAGGGCAGGTCCCAAGCTTTGAGACCCTCAGAGTAGGTTTCACTCTGAAAAAAGCACTGAGCAGCGTGTACTTTCCTTCAGACCCTCCTCTTAACTTTTCTTTTACATCCTCTCTCAAGGTCCACTCTGGGGTATGCCCACAGTCTGGGGTATGCCCCCGACTATGCCCCTCTAGAACTCTTGACTCTGACAAGATGCCTCAAGGAAGCAGCATCCAAGCCACAAGGGGGAGCTGTGTACATGAATGTTTCAAGCACAGAAGGTCACAGGACTGCTGGCAGAGGGGGTCACACCGCGAGGGATCAGTTGGTGTGTCAGGTTTCCCAGAATCCTTAGTGGCCTAAGGGACCACTTAGTGGGATCTTAGTGGGGAAGGGACAGAAGGGTAGAAGAATGGGCAGCGTAACAGAGATGACGTGGTGGAAAGAAACGACTGGGGTGAAGTCGGCCTGCAGCAGCTAAGTAGACATTTGGGAAGAGCTCTTTCTCTTGTAACCCTGCATTATTCTGGGATGTCAGCTCCAAGATGCCTCTGGCCTAGTGCCTGACCCACCAGCCCTCCAGCTGTACGAGCCAATCCCTGGGGATGAACCTTGCAATCTCTCTCTCTGTAGGACACTTTACTGCTGCTGCCCCTCTGGGACCCTGACTTAGACACACTGAAAACATGCAGCTATAGGTTTTTCCCAGAGACGTGCCATAGTTCCTCAGTTTCCCTTTGTAGAAGAACTGAGTTCCTATGAGAGCCATGCCTGCCCAGCTGAAAGGCTAGCCTGGAGCCAAAGAATACACCTTTCTTTTTGGCCAGCAGCCCTGAGCTGTGAAAATGACATGTGAAGGGACAAAGGAATGGTCTCCACTTCTGGCCATCCTGGAATTTCGTCAGAACGACCAACGAGCGGCAGAGGCGCATCATTGCAGAGCAGTCCCTGGCGCCTTTCCTACCTCTGCGAGCAACGGCTGGAAGGTCAGAATGTCGATTCTCTGTTCCATACACTTTTTAAGTCTGTCTGGTATAGGATACTGTGGGAGAAAACTCGGCAGTTGTCGTCTGGAGTTCCTTAAAAATAAATTCACCAGAGTTAAAAACAGGTTCCTAACCTCCCTAGCAGGCGACTGCCCCCCACCTCCACTCCACTTCAAAAAGACCAAAGGGCATCCAAACCCACTGCCACCCTGTAAGTGTTCCTGAGGCTGTAAATCTGTCCTCCATGGAGCCACTGGTGGGTCTGAACTGCTGACCTTGCAGTTAGCATCCTGGGGCTCCTATGGTTCCACCAAGGCTGCCTAAAGGGGCTCCACTTAAACACAAATTGCTGCTCTCAACTGGCCATTTGGGAATGTGTGAGAGGTTTCAAAAAGTTTGTGGAAAATTCCATTCTATTTCAGTTCCATTTCTCCATGAGCATTTTGACACCCCCTTGTACACTGGCCCCTGCGTTCCCAGCTGTTTTTGGGTTTCAGGTGTCTTAGTCTGCACTTTCTCTGGTAAAGTTCAGTCTCACCCCCAGACTTCTAAAGGCCCGATTTGGAGTTGGCGGAATTCAGTCACCTACAGGATGTGACCTATCAGTGCTGCTATGGACAAAGCGTTTGCAGCCCCCAGGACAGATGGAGCAGAGAGCCAGGGCAGGTCAGGGAGAAGAGCAGAACACACACACAGAGAGACCCCACATGGTCAGCTGATGGTCCGTCTATCTGGGGGAATCAAAGGGCGCTGCCCCGTGACTCCCTCCGCTGACCTTGGCCCCCTCCCTCGTCTTTTTCTCCCAGGACAGTACTTTCATGTTCACGCTGGCTTCTAATAGAAGGCTGAGCAGAGAGGCTCTGTCATCAGAAGGGTCACAGCAAATCCACCTGCTACTAAACAGGGGATACCCTCTGCCCTCATCTGAGTACGGGGGACTCTTCCTTTGGGAATCGTGGCACCATGGGATTGCAGGCCAAGTGCACAGGAGGGTCCTGAGATGGGCATGTACTACGGGGCCCTGGACACCTGTGTGGCACCTCTGGAGACTGGGGCCACCAATGCGGAACCACCAGCTCGCCTGGAGACCACCAGGATCCATATGAATTAGTACTAACATTTTACAAAATGCTCAGAGAAGTTAAGCAGCTTGCACAGGGTCACACAGCCTCCTGGGGGCCATGCTGGGGTTCACATCTGGTCCAACTCCAAATGAATCCAAACAATGCTCCTCTCTACCTTACAGCTGAGCCCTACACCCCTTCTCTAAGTCTCTTTTTGGGACAAGCATCAGGAAAGAACTGTGTCTCCCCTTCAGTGGGTGTGGATGGGTTCCTGACTGCAGTCAGGTGGACTAACATGGAGCAAGTCTAGGGAGAGCTCCCCACACACAGCTCTACAGGGAACCGTAAGAAATGACTTTTTAGAGCTTTTTGGGTTTTCCAAGAGCACAAAAGAGATAGGGAGCTGAAAGACTTTCTTGGGGCCCCACACCTGTCCAGAATTCCGACAGATGCTGCACTAGCTTCTGGCCATCGTGGTGTGCCTGCCCGCTCTACTTCCAGAGACAGGCACAGGGTACATGGGGTCGGCCAAGGGTTGGGGTCTGAACCCTGTCAGGTGGGGAGGCGGCCTTGCCGTGTGCCCCTGGGGTGATGAGGGCGCCATGGCACCTGCCTCTTCTGGGTGGTCACGACGACGGTGGTCTTTGGCGATGACACCACCTGGGGACTTTTCGACTTTTTCCAAGAGAACGGTTCTCGGACGCCGACCAGTCCCTCCTCAGCAGTGGCGACGTTCACGTCCAGGTATCGGCCCACCAGAAAGTCAGAGAAGCAGAGGAGGAGGAGCTCCCTGCAGCGACCGGAGTTTCTAGGGAGCAATCAGAACTGAGCTGTGATCCTGAAGGAAGGAGGCCGACTCCAGGTGCCCTTCCTCCCAGGCACCACAAAGCTACCCTCCATCTGGAAGGGTGCCTTCTATGGGCAAAGGGGTTTCTAAGGAAACAATGTCAACATTCCCCAAACAGCAACTACAATGGTCTATTTCATAGTTCTAATACTCAAAGCCCACCACTCGCCTGTCAGGGTGG